GGTATCCGCCCAGGGCCCCTGCGAGCGCTCGGTGGCGCAGCCGGCTTGGAAGCACTGGGAGGGCCCAGGCCCTGGCGAGGACCCCCTCTGGAGGCGAGATCTACGCGGAGAAGGAGGAGGTGATGGATGTGCTCCTCAAGGATCATCCGGGTCTCGGCCCGGCGGGGCAGACTGTGAGAGTCAAGCGAGGACTGGAGGGTGAAAGAAGGGGCCTGCAACAGGGGGTCTTCAATGGGGGCTGGATGGCCCATGTATGCTCAATGTATCGCTGATGTATGTGTTCGGGTATGGTTGGCATCCAATGTTGGCACTCATGGAGGGCCAGTCGTTCGTGCCTGCGCGTTGCCCGCGCGGGCATGCGCGCCGTCCATCCATTATCGTTCATGCGTGCGGGCGTTCTTGCATATCGCGCGTGGGGCGGCGAAGTGGAATGCAAGGGTGTCTTGATTGTGCGATTGATGGCCGCGTATGTTCCCAAACGATGACTTGTCGACCCCCAAGACAGATTCGAAATTGGTTTCGCGAATCTCCCAACATGTGAATTCACAATTTCTTTTTTCCAAACAGTGGATTCACATTTTCCTTTTTCCCGAAATGCGAATTCACACTCTGGCCCTTTTATACAGACCCCTATACAAAATTCCAAAATGTGAGTTCACATTTTCTTTTTTCCCAGACGTGAATTTACATTTTCTTTTTTTTCCCAGAATGCGAATTCACATTTAGCTTTCCCCCACAATGTGATTTCACATTTTGCCTGGGCCCTCACGATCCCCAAAACTGAAGCGCAGTGTTCCGCATGTCAGATTTGTTGGGCAAATTTTGACATTCACCTCGCCGCTTTCGGCTATTCAAACAGTTTTTCCGCGCCCTCAGCGAACGTTGCCTTCGTCACCTTTCCCGAGCCCCCCGCCTCCTGGTTTCGTTTACCTTCAAGCTTCGCCCATGGGTGCCGGCGGGAGCTTCACGTGGATCCCCCGCCGAACACAGTTATCGAGGATGTATCGCCCGCGCATGGCCCACAGAGACACCATTGCCCGGACCTTGCGCCCGACCCCTCTTTTCACCCTCCAAGTGGACGATTCCGGACTTGGTTGTTGCCGCGTAGTTTCGCTGTCCGCCGGGAGTTCGAGTTGGAGAAGCAGTTCGTTGCCAAGGTGAGAAGGACAAAGAGGTGAAGCGACAGGAAAGCGCACAGGCGTTGGCGACGAAGAAGCAACCCGAGGGGCTTCGGACGATCAAATATTGAGGCCAGTCGGACGTACACCGTGACCGTTCAAATTCCGGCGCAGACCAACGCGCTCATAACGGTCGACATCGTGCCAGAAGGCGACGGCGCGGGAGGTGGAAAGGCGGAACCGACATGGCCTGAGCGTGTGGAGCGCAATTTCGCAGGGACGTTGCGCACCAGGACCATCACCATCATCAACACCATCATCATCATCATCATCAGCATCACCATCATCATCCCCATCCTCGTCCTCATCCTTATCCACATCCTCATCACCACAATCAGCCTCATCATACTCATCATCAGCAGCATTAGCTGCATCAGCAATGTCATTACCATTCTGATTCCGCCAAACCACCCCACCCAACCCGAAGGCCTGCATTTGCCCTCCATTTCCAGTGGGGGGGGTCGGGGAACATAGAAACAACAGCACATCGAACCCTTACCCCCCCCCAACCCGAAATTCGAGTCTTCGGGTTGGGTTGGGGTGGTCTGGTAGGTCGTCATTTGGAGTCGAGACAAGCACTAACAGGCATCCCAGAAAGCAAACCAGTTCATGCTTCCAACCGTTGCCAACATACCCCGAAGATCCGCCCCGAGATGCCAGAACAGGGCTCCAGAAAATAACCTCAAGACCCTCAAGACCCTCATGTTCTCACCTGGCCTGTTCTTTTCTTCATACTGCCCTCTACCAGTTTCCTTCGTATTGCTACCCGCTACGGACAGCACGGGAGCTATCGTCTTTGAGCGCAAGTCAGGACAGTTTGCGCTCCAAGGTCTGGGCTTGTTGCTCTGTCAGGTTTCCACTGCGCCCGTCCCGCCCGAGCTCAAACCTAACGCCTCAACCCGTGGCCGCCAAGGGGAGCCACGACGAAGGCGGCGACTACGACGATGATCGCGACGACGTCCACGGCGACGACGACGACAGTGGCGGCGACCGCGACGACGTCGCCGGCGACGACGGCGACGGCGGCGGCGACGACGGCGGCGACGACCGAGACGTGCACGGCGCCGAAGACGATGACGTCCACGACGGCGACTGTGACGATGACGAAGGCGGCGACGACGTCGCCGACGTCGGCGACTGCGGGGGTGACGACGCCCACGACGGCGACGACGACCGCAACGGCGGCCCTCGGAGACCCCAAGCGGCCAGGGCCGCGCCGTGCGGCTCCCGCAGCACTTCAGCCTGGAGGACGAGGACACGTGCAGCGACTCGTCCTGGCTCGGCCAGGAGGCGTGCCCTGCGCGGACGGTCCAGCTGCGCGAGGAGAAGGAGGAGGAGGAGGAGGAGAAGGAGGAAAAGGAGGAGGAGGAGGGAGGAGGAGGAGGTGGCGTTCGGTCGGTTCGGTTCGCTCGGTCGCTGGGTCGTTGCCGCGCCGCCGCTGCCCTCGCGGCCACATCCTGCAGAGTCGGCCTTGGTGGGCCTGCGTCGGCCTGCTGTCGGTTTGCGGTGGCGCTGCCGCCGCGGGCGGCCCTGGCACCCCTTTGGGGGCGCAGGCGAGGAGGCGGAGGAGGTCCGAGCAGCGCATGCGCTGGGGGCTCGGCCAGGCCCTGGTCGTCCAGGGCGGGGGGCGGGGGGCGAAGGCCTCGCCGCGAGGTCTCGGCCCGAGCGCGCTCCACAGGGCGAGGCGGGGGGCCGCGGCGCGCTCCAGAGAGGGCCCCGCCCTCGGGGGACCGAGGCAGTGGAGGCCTCCTCCTCGGCGGAAGGCCGGCGGAGAGCGGCGGAAGATCCCCGAGGGCGCCTCCGCCTGCGCAGGCAAGGAGATGAATCGCGGTTCGGCCCCGCCTCCTCCTCCTCCTCCTCCTCCTCCTCCTCCTCCTCCTCCTCCTCCTCCTCCTCCTCCTCCTCCTCTCTTCTCCTGTGGGGGGGCGGCGCGGGAGCGCGAAGCTGTTCGCGCTTCGCGCGGCGCGAGGCGCGAAGTTGGGCGCCCTTGTGCAGGCGGAAATGTTGGGGACGAGTAGTGGCAGAACCACAGTCTTTCGGAAGTCCGCGCGGACCTCCGAGTTTGTCTGTTTGTGCCATGGCTTTTGGACGCCATGTGTGCCAATGCTGCAATCTGGCAATGTGTGCCATTTGGCGTTACGGTAGTCATCGTCGCCAATGTTTTGTGCCAATGTTTTTGGGGCTCCTGTTGGGGCGGCTAGGGAGCATGGAAGCTCGGCGTCGCAAGCTCTGAGGGAGGGGGAGGTTTGCGGGGGGCCCTTCGCACGGAGGGCCCCGCTCGAGATCGCCCGTGCAGCACCCCTGGCCACCGACCCGCAGGAGTAGTTTGAGACAGGCGGACCTTGGGAGCGATGCCCTGCCTCATCGTCATATGTGTGAAAGCATGTGTAACCATATTCACATGATTGTAGTTCGTGTGTATGCGTGTATGCACGTATGTATGTATGTATGTGCGTATGTGTATGTGTGTGGTTGCGTACATGTATGCATGCAGGTATGCATGCATGTCTGTAGTTGTGTATGTGTATATGTATGTAGACGTGTATGCATACATGGATGCACGTGCATATGCACGAATGGATGAACTGTATGTATGTATGGATGCAGGTAGGCCTGTGTGTACGTGTATATGTGTGTATGTGTATATATGTATGTCTGTCTGTATGCATGTATGTGCTTATGTATGTATGCATGTGTGTTCATGTACGTGTGTACGTTGTCTTGATGTGCGCATGCATGCATTCACGTATGCAGATATGTACGTATGTATGCATGGATGAGTGTATGTATATATATATATATATATATATATATGGATGGATGCGTGGCTGTGTGCATGTGCAAATGTTTCTATGCATCGATTTACGTGTGTGTATGAGCTGATATGTGTATGTATGTGTGTGCATGCATGTATGTGCGTATGCAGTCATGTATGCATGTATGTATGTGTGTAGTTGTGTATGCATGTGTGTACGCGTGCCTGTACGTGTGTATGAATGCGTGCATGCATACAGCCATGCCTGCATGTTGTAGGTATGTGTGTGAAAGTGTATGGTTGTATGCATGCATGCGTGTATATATTCATGTACGTAGATGCGCATGTATGTATGTATGTATGTATGTATGTATGTATGTATGTATGTATGTGTGTAAGTGTGTGTGTATCTATGTATGCATGTAGGTGTACGTGTGTACGCCAATTATGTATGCGCGCGTGCACACTTATACATATGGATACAATGGGTGCATACGTATTTGTATAACACGCATGTATGTATACCTACATACAGGGGGAGGCAGAGAGAGAGAGAGAGATCCTCCTCCTCCTGCTCCTCCCTCATCCTCTTCTTCCGTCGCCTCCTCCTCCTCCTCCTCCTCCTCCTCAAGCCTCCCCGGCACTGTGCGCTGCGCCGTTTTAGCGGGTCGGGCGGAATTGAGCAAATGGTAGAGGCGTCGTTGATGTGACAAAACCTTGCCAGTGCATTCGTTTTGGCACCGATTGCGGCCTCTAATGTTGACGTGCCATTGGCTCTCTTTCCAGCCTGCTCCAACGCAGCTCTCCGATGGGAGTAAGGCCGCGCTCCTCACACGAGCCCGAATCAGATCAAATCCTCAATCCTCCTCTTCCTCCTCCTTCTCATCCGCGTTCTCCTCCCTCCTTCTCCTCCGCCTCCTCCTCCACCTTTCGGCCAGTTTTGTGCAGGAGCTGCCGTGGATAGATTTACGGTCTCTGATGGTTGCCAGCGTCGCTCTTCCACCTCCTCCTCCTCCGCCTCCTCTTCCTCCTCCTCCTCCTCCTCCTCCTCCTCCTCCTCCTCCTCCTCCTCCTCCTCCTCCCCCCTCAAAGGGCGATCCCTGGATTTGGTCAGGGGCCAGCGGGGCGACGGAAATGAGGACCCTCCAAGAGCTCGAACGAGTACCAACAGCGCTCAAAAATCTCCCCGCCCGATCGTCGTCGTCGTCCTCCTCCTCCTGCTCCTCCGCTTCCTCCTCCAGCTTGCTTGCTCCGAGCGCAGAGCTGGCAGTGTCGCGCCTGAGGCTTCGACAGGGTCGGGGGGGAATGTCCGGGAAGGTGTATTAGCTGGGGCTGTCTCCCTCGCCCCTCTGCGCGCGCGGCTTTCGTCACTCCAGGCGTCCGTGTCCGCTCACTTCTCGCCCTTCTAACTCGACGTTTTTTTTTTGCAACGTAGGCCCCTGGAGGCCTAGGCATTTCCGCCCGAACCGGCTTGTCATCCTGAGTCGTCTCTGATGGCCCGTCAAAAAAGAGATTCCGTCGCGTTTGTTCTGTCCCGCCACTACAGAAAATGCTGAGGATTCGCGGGGGCTGTCCCCTTCGCCTCTCTCCGCGTGTGGTTTTAGCCCCTCTCGCCCTCCCCTTTCCTTCTTACTTTGATTCGAAGGGCGACCCTGCCAAGTCAAGGAAACCCTTGTGCCCCTGCGTACCGCGCCTCGTGCCCTCTTGCATTCCTGGGGCAGTGTGGCCGCAGACGGCTTTGGCGACCTCTCGCATGCCCTCTCCAACCAAGCTCGATTGCAACGGAGGTGTCCACCAATCTCTTCTCTGCGCCCTCTCCGACGACGCTGTTTCATGTCGACCTCGTCCCGGGATCAGCTTGTCCTCCCGAGTCGTGCTTTTCACAGGTCCAGGGCCTGGAGACGACCCCCGGAGACCGGAAGCGTAAAAGTCCCCGCCGTCGCCCAGGCCTGCCCGAAGGTGGCGGCGCTGGGCCGCGGTGCTCGCCGGGCTCTCCTCGGGGCCCCCTTCGCTCCCCGTGGCCAGCCGCGAGGAGTCCGAGGCCAGCGGCGACCACTCGCCAGAGGACACGGCATCCCTGGACAGCTTCGAGGCCAGCTTCGAGAAGGCGAGCCCCCCCAGGACGAGGAGTGTGAAGTCGGGCACGCCCCTCTACAGGAGGAAGATTCCAAACTAGTCAGAAAATAGTGTGGGGACGATGTTTTACATGCTTGTGTTTTTTGTGTATTAAGAAAATCGCCCAAGATCCGCCTCCAGGGGGACATGCCCGAACTAACGGTAATCCTCAGATCCGGGCACAGCTAAACATCGCGACGGCAATGCCTTCCATATCGGCAAGAGTCCGTCCCCGGCGGTGAGCAGTGCAGTCCTCTGGGGAGCCACGCGGAGAAGTCGAGGGACCACCGCGAGGACCCAGACCTACCCACGTCCCCAGACCTCTGACGAACTGACCTCTGCAGCCGCGGAGTCCTCTTCTCGACTTCGGCTTCCCGTGAGCTGTTCCTTGGCCCAGGCGACCAGACATGGGGACAAGACGAAGCTTAACCCCAAGGGCAGGCCGGGAAGGGGTCAAGACCCCCTGGAACCTTGGACAGGACAAATCTTAGTGTCGGATATCTGGTCCGACGTCTTTGAAAACGCAAGGAGTAGTTTCGTTTGGGTTTTGGTTACAATGTTCGGCTTAAGGGGACCTGACGGGGTCCAGGGCCCGTCCAAGAATATATAGTTCGTCACGAAAGCCGAAAGCAGCCACGGGGAAGGAGTCGAGACGCTGGGGGTTCACCCTGCGAGAGAATCGCGTCTCGACGTCGGGGGTCTGAGGACAGCGACGACGTCTCCGTTTCGAAGGTCGTCAGGGCACCTCTGGAGCTTCTCGTCGCCGCGGCCAGACACGGCGCGAGACGTTAACGATAGGCCCAGGGGTTCTGGGACTGGTTTTGAGCGAAGATTAGTCGATATCGCGACGACGACATCGGCGGGCGGCGACGACGACGGCGACGGCAGCGATGACGACGACGACGACGACGACGACGCCCACGACGACGACGACGACGCCCACGACGCCGACGACGACGACGACGACGACGACGACGACGACGACGACGACGACGGCGATGGCGACGGCGACGACGACGGCGACGGCGACATCGACGACGACGGCGACGGCAGCGATGACGACGACGACGACGACGACGACGGCGACGACGACGACGACGACGCCCACGACGACGACGACAGCGACGACGATGACAACGACGCCCACGACGACGACGATGAAATGGCGACGACGACGACAACGACGACGACGACGACGACGTCGACGGTGACGACGACGACGACGGCGACGGCGATTGCGACGGCGACGGTGACATCGCCGCCGACGGCGGCGAGGTCCTCTATTGCGGCGACGACGCGTCTTGATCTTGGTCAAACCCGCGTGGACGAAGCCTGATTTGACGAAACACGCCTTCCTGGACAAGAGCGCGTTGCACGTGCAATAGCGCATTGCACGTGATGGCGGGGAATCACAAGACCATTCGCTGCTTGGGCCCCAGGGTCAGCCCGAACGACGAGCATGCGTCGGACTTACGCTCATGGAAGCTGCGAGATCCAAACCCCTCCTGGCCATAGGTCGGGCGATCGGCTGCGAGACGGCAGGCACCCTACCACAGTCCCGTCCGTCCGAGAGGCCCCAGTGCGTTTCAGCCGATGGTGAAAGTGGACCAGACAGGTAGCATCGTGCGAGCGATAATGGGGGGCAGCACATGAGGGGTGAAGAGCGCAGCACTTTTGGCACACTTATACTTCAGAGGCCCCCCTGTTGAAGTTGTTTTGTGCCGTTTTGGACATGTTCGGCCCAGCGACTGCGCCCGCGCTCCACTGCGCAGTGGAAGCTACGCGCGCGAAGCATCTATCAGCATCCAGGGAAGAGAGCAACGTCAGATGCCGAGGGGTTACGCGGCGATGCCAGGGCCGCGTGCGCGCAGCCGCCGTGAACTGCGAAACGTGAATGTACGTCTGGTCTTCCTCCATTTGATGCATTGAGGCCACGTTTCGATGCACTGAGGCAGCCTGAGGACATGTTTGGTTCACTTTCGCGCACAGCAGCTCCTAGCAGCCCGCCAGCTCCACGCATCTCAATGTCTGCACGAGAGGCGGCCGCGCGCGATGCGCGGACCGCAACTCTGTGACCACGTTGGGAGCTGCGCCGCACGCATGGGAGAGCCGCCGTCCGATATGGAGCGCTCAGATCGGGCAACGCACCACATGTGAGACAGGATTTCGCCTCCAACCGCCTCGTTTGCGAAACGTGCGTTGCTCCCCCGATGTGCGCACCCGCCCATGAACGCCCACCTTCTAGCGCCCGCCCCATCAGCATCGACGGGGACGAAACGCCGGCAGGCGGCCTCGCCTGCCTCGTGCTCCTCCGCCGGTGTCCTCGCCCTGGCGCGGAGGCGTGGTGCAGCTGTTGTCGACGGGGGGGGCGGGCTCGGCAGGACCCGCAGGCGGCAGCATGGTGTTGCAGCCGCCAGAAGCGCAGGCCCCAGCCTACATCCCCTGACGGAGCCCCGAATCATCGGGGCTTGGGGTGGTCATGGGGAACTCGTGCCTCGGGGACCCAAGCCAGAACTGCCCCGGACAAGAGTTCTCCCAGATGATTCCGGCGCCCACCTACTCCCGAAACATCGGGGCTGGGGGCGGTCAGCGGTAATTGTTGTTTCTGGTCCAGCGGCCCAAGCCAGAGTTCCCCCAGATTGGAGGTATGCCAGATAACTCGGGCGTCAAACCATGGGTGGCGGTGCCCTCTCGGTGTTGGGGTCGAGGGTGGGGGAGTACGGCCGTGCACTGTACCTTGAGCGCTCGCGGTCATCATTATCGCCACCACTCACCACCGCCACCGCCACCATCATCATCATCATCATCATCATCATCATCAGCAGCATCATCATCATGATCATCAACATTATCAACCTTATTATCGTCATCGTCATCATCACATCGCCTTCATCATCATCTTCATCATCATCACACTTATCACCACCGCCACCATCATCATCATCATCATCATCATCATCATCAGCAGCATCATCATCATGATCATCAACATTATCAACCTTATTATCGTCATCGTCATCATCACATCGCCTTCATCATCATCTTCATCATCATCACACTTATCATCATCATAAGCATCATCGTCGTCGTCATCATCAGGATCATCACCATTCCTCATCCTCCTCATCATCGCCATCGTCGGACTCCCATCGTGGGTAATCGGGTAACGTTGGAGCGATACAGATGATATTGGCATGACTTTGTCATCGCCATCTCCATCGTCATGTTAGTCACCGTCATCACCATCATCATCACCATCACTGCCACAATCGCTACCACCATCACTATCATCACAATCACCATCACCTGTCCCCTGCAAGGTCGACGAGGCCTCCGACGGGATGCCGCCTCCCTCCGACGGCGAGGAGGGGTCCCAGCAGGACAGCTCAGACAAAGGTCCCCCCTGAGGGCTCGGCTCGCGTGCCGCCGCGATCTGGGCCAGCTGGCGCCCGTGCGCCACGAGCGCACGATGTCCTCCCTTCGTCCCAGAAGCATAGAAACAGGAAGGAAAGAATGGGGACGAAAACCAACTGTCAGTTTGAGGCAGACGCCGCGTGCACGACAGCATCCGCTGCCGGTGTTGGACAACATTGGGTGTTGCGCTGCGTTCCGTGTTTTTTCTTTCTTGTACCCATGTCGTGCCCACTATCTCTCGGGTGTCGCCACGAGGTGGCTTTGGTCAAATTGTGGCTTTTGGTGGAACGTTTGCTGTTCAAACGCGGCTTTTTTGCGATTTCAACCTCCGCCCGGGGGCCGTGCAAAATGCTCCTGGGATGGCAAACCAAGAGATCGAGCCCCCTTGGGGCCTGCAGCGCGCGGTTTTTGGGCGGACGCCCGCGGAAGTAGATCAGAAGGGCGGCGGCGAGTCCGCCAGCGGGAATTGTCCGACGGCGGTATCGTAGAAACATGCGCCTAATAGTGTTAGCCGGCGCTATTCCTAAACAGTGATGGTTCTACAACCTTTGCGGCGCGATCTAGGTGGTGCAGTCAATGTAGTGCAATCTAGGTGGTGCAGTCCATGCGCAATCTACGAGACGCAAAGCAACGAAAAGCAACACAATGCAAAGCAATGTAAAGAAATGTAAAGCAATGCAAGCCAATGCACAGCAATGCAAAGCAAAGACAGACAATGCAACGCAATGACAGGAAGTGTCAAGCGATGCAAAGCGATGCAGTGCGATGCAAAGCAACACACAGTAACGCAACGCAATGCAACCCAATGCAATTCAAAGCAACGCAACGTAACTCATCGCACCGCAAAGCAACGTCATGCCAAGCGAACCTAAGCAGTGCAAAGCAAGGCAATGCAATGCTAAGCGATGCGAAGCAAATCGAAGCCATGTACAGCAATACCGCGGCGACTGGCGGCGCTGGGCGGCCACAAGCCGGCCGGACCGCCACCGGGGCCCAGCTGCCAGCGGCGACGGCGGTGGCGACGGGCGGCAGCGGGCGGCCACGAGCTGGCCAGCCCGACGCCAGGGCTCCCTCTGAAGGCCAGCAAGAGCCCCATGGGTGCAAGCACTGTTCGGGGAAAGATGTTTGGGTCCAGGGCTTACTGACTCGAACAGGTGAGCCCAGGCTTCCTGGGCTCCCTGTGGCCTCCAGAGCACGCCTCGTCAGGGCCCCAGGGGCCCATGGACGGGGCGGGAGCTGGGACCACCTCTGTTCGCCACGAAGGAAACTGGTCTTGAGGGAGTAGGATCCTGTAGGTCTCTGACAGCTTTCGGCTCTTGGGGCCCCCTGCCCAGGCCCCGGGATTGCCAAAATGAATTCGGGATGAAGGTTTGGTCCTGGGGGGGAGGCCTGGGGGCCAGGACCCGTCTCCGGCCTTGGCAAACCAATGCCGTTGAGATTTTGAGGGCGTCGTTCGTGGAGAGCGCCTGAAGGGTGTCTAGGGCCCTCTTGGAGCCCTCTTCTGATATGTTCGGTGGTTTTGGGAGCTGCTGGGCACTTCCTGGGGCAATGTTGGGCCCTCCTGGCGGCCTTCCTCCTAGGCTGTCTTGGAAGCCCGAGAGACGCTTCGAGGGCTCATCGCAGGCATCGCGGTCGGCATTCCGCCCCAGGAGAATTTCGTGATCGGCAGAGAGGGGTGCGGGAGGGAGGCGGGGGTGGCCCCAGGCCTCCAACGCATGAACAACAACACAAAGCATGTCAGCCAGAGCGGACCCCAAAACAATGTGGACCATCAGCAGTGAGTTGTTGCGCTGTGGCGGTGGAAGCCGTGCGGCGTAGTCTATGTGGTGAGGGTTGTGTCGTGCAGGTTGGGTGGCGTGAGTTAGACGGGTGAGGGTTATGCGGAGCACGCTGCGTGGTGCAACCTGTGCCGTGCAAGTTGTGCGGTGTGATCTAGCGGTGACAGACATGCGGTGTGAGCTATGTGGTGCTAGCTATGCAGTGCAATCTAGGTGGTATGAGATATGTGGTGCAAGCTATGCGGTGTAAGCTATATGGTGCAAGATCTGTGGTGTACGCCCCGCGCTCGGGACGCCAAGGAGCGCACTTCTTTGTCACAGCGGCGCGGAACCCCAGCGCGGTCGGAAGCAGCCGCGGAGCATTACGGGGCCGAATCGGGTGTGTGCGCGATCAGTGACCCCAGGGAGCATAAACACAAGGGTCTGCGGTTCTAAGCCAGGACAGTTCAATCCAACGAGCGCACCCGGAGTGGCCGGGGGGTTGCAACGTTGTGCAACCGCGGCAACGTGCCGCAACCTCGCCCCCCCCGCCCCCAACGCACGGGGCGCCGACGAGCGTCCACGACGCGGCATCGTGGCACAAGCTCGGCAAACGCCCCCAGCGCAGGGGGCCCCCACGAGACGGCACGGGCGGCAGCGTGGTGCAACCCCGACCCTCCCCCAGTGCACGGGGTGCCCAAGAGGCGCCCACGAGGCGGCAGTGGGCTTCCTGGTGCAACCTCGGCAGGCCCCACCCCCCCCCCGCGCACGGGACGCTCACGAGGCGACACGGGCAGCAGTGCGGCGCAACCTCGGCAAACCCCCCAGCGCACAGGGCGCCCACGAGCGCACACGGCGCAGCACGGGCAGCAACGTGGCGCAACCTTGGCAGACCAACCGAGCGCAAAGCGCGCCTTACAGACGGCACGGCCGGCAATGCAGAGCGGATGTGTCAGTTATGTGGTGCAAGGTCTGTGGTTTAAGCTCCGTGGTGCAGTTTGTTGTTATGTTTGCAAGCGAGTTGACAAATTCCATGTCCATGCAAGCAGTTCACCCGTCCATCCCGCAACTTGGCTTGCAAAGCCCATGCGGCTGCGATTGCGTTGGCTGGTGCATTTCTGTGGCCACGTTCGCCTGTGCATGCTCGCGCGCACAGCGGCCAGCTAGTGTGGCGCGACAAACGCGGCCGCGGTGGCGCTGACCGCTGGGCATTTTCCAGCGGCACTTCAGTGCGAGTCGGTGACTTGGGCGGGCGCGGTATCATGGCGACGCCGACACCCGGTAAACACGATTATGAAAGTAGCGACGATGGTAACAACGGTGGCGATGACAATGGCAAGGCCAATGGCGGCGTCGATGTTGTTCACGCCCGCCGATAAAGATGACAAAGTTCTCGCGTCTGGCGATGAAGGTTTTAGGAGTTCGACATGCGCGCACGGCCGACGCGCGCGAGCGGCCCGCGTGTATTAATAAACATGGATCGTGCCCCCCCCCAGCACGCGTGCAAGGGCGTCATAATGAGTTTGACGTGCGGCGCGGGAGGCCTGTTTGGCAGAATTTTACAAATAAATGTTGGGCAAACCATGGTTTTCTTAAGAACCCGCAAGAGCGCGAACGCAGGACTTTACGAAAACGGATTTTGCAAAACCGTGCGTTTTAGATGTTCCCGGGGGACTCGATTTTGAAACGGGACCGAGGAATTTTCAAGGATTTCGGCATGCGCGCGCGCCGGCGCGCGCGCGTGTGCACTTCGTGTTTTGTTTGCAAAGGGCTCTTGCGACAGCACGCGCGCAAGCGCGTTCGAACGAATTTGACACACGCGCGCGCGAGGGGCCAATGTGGAAGCATTGTAATAAAATGCTGAAGAACATACGGTGTGCTTAATAATTGTTGACGCTTCGCGTATCCCCACCAGCCCATCCAGAAACGATGCCCAGGGGAGTTGAGGTGATCAGGGAAGTCGGGGAGCATGCAGAATTTCAAAGGGCGGGGGAAGCTGTTACGTACCCCAAAAGGGGGAGGATGGATAAGGAATCCTCGTCGGAGGGGGAGGGGGAGGAAGAGGAGGAGGAGGAGGAGGAGGAGGAGGAGGAGAATGAGGAGGAGGATGTGGAGTAGGGGAAGGACGAGGAGGACGAGAAGGAGGAGAAGGAGCAGAGGGAGGAGAAGGAGGAGAAGGAGGAGAAGGAGGAGGAGGAAGAGGGGGATGAGAAATTGAAGAGGACGGCGAACCGAAGAGCCAGAAGCGTCTTAAATGCATTTCGGAGATCTTCTTGAGGCTTTGTGGGGGTCTTTTGGGAGCCTCTTGGAGGCCTCTTGGGCGCCTCTTGGGGCGCTCTTGGGGCGCTCTTGGGGGCTGTAGGGGCGCTCTTGGGGCCATCTTGGAGGAGATCGATCAACGAAGGGGGGGTCCCTAATTAGCCTCCCCCCTCAGGAGCTCCAAACATCGCCTCTTGGGGCGCTCTTGGGGCGCTCTTGGAGCGCTCTTGGGCGCTCTTGGGGCCGTCTTGGGGCTCTCTTGGGCCTCTTGGTGGGCCCTCTTGGGCCATCTTGGAGCCATCTTGAGGCCTTGGATGGCCATCGGAAGCGAAACGGGGAGAAAGCAAACAACATTGATTGTCCTGAGGTTTTGGGACGATGTTGGCCTCTTCGGGGCCTCCTTGGGGAGCTCTTTGGCCACTTGGAGCCGTCTTGGGGCCGTCTTTGGGCCTCTTGGAACCATCTTAGGAGCCATCTCGAGCGATCTTGAGCCATATTGGAGCTCATTTGGGGCTCTCTGACGCGCTCTTGAAGCCATCTTGGGGCCAAAAGAGCCGTCCGACCGCTCGGGGAACCCTCCGTCCAGGTCCAGGGGAGGGGGTAGGGGGAGGGGTAGACCCCTCCCCAAGGGGGAAGAGGGAGGGGTGGAAGAGGATCTGTTCTAGACCAACTACGCCCAGAGGGCTGGTGGGATTCACAAGGCTCGGGCGTATTGTTCTGGGTAAAAAAAAAACGTGTTGCAAAAGCCACGTGTTGTTTACATGTTGGCGTGACACTCGATTTCGAAATACTTACAAAACCGACGGTTTTGTTTCGAGCATGTCGCGATGCGCGCGCGACGACGCGCACGTGTGCATCTCGTCCCGCATTTGCAAAATATTGTTGAAAACGGATGGTTCCTGGTCAACGAGAGCGCGCGCATTTTTTTCAGAGGATGGCGGAGGGGGGTCGATACCAGCCTGGCTGGGACGGTATGAGTTCATAATTTGGATGGGCGATGGGGCAGAATCGCATGTACATTGCAGTGTGAAAAGGCTGACGGTTAAGCCCGGGGTTGGGAGGTAGATCTTGGATTTGGTTTTTGTGGAAAAGAGGATCTATGTGGTGCATGCTACGAGGTGTAAGGGATGTGGTGCCAGTTAGGAGGTACCAGCTGTATTCTACAAGCTACGTGGTGCAATCTTCGTGGTGCACGTTCTGCGGTGCAAGGTGTGTATGTGTGTGTGATGCATGCTACGATTGGCGGCCGCGTGGTGGCCTTCGGTGTCTTCAGGCCGTATTCGGGCTCGGGGGTTGTGAAGCCATTGTTTTGGACGAAAGCGCGCACGCGACTGTGTGGACTACGTGGCTTGAAGTCCAGGCAAGACTTGATGCTTCGTAGCAGGTGTATGCGTCGAGGCAATGGTGCGAAGAACCTTGGTCTTCACACTGCTGCTCGCTATCATGTCCTGTCCTCACCTCTCTACTCCTACCACTCCTCTGGCTCGTCCATCCTTCTTCCCTTCCACCTTCTGCTCCCCATCATCCCATCATCCTCGCATGATCCTCCTTCGCACCGTCCTCCTCCGCATCCTCACCCGTGTTCGCTGTCCTCTCTTCGTCCGCGGTCTCTCTCTCTCTCTCTCTCTGCTGCTCCACCCATCCCTTCAGGATCCGTAGCATCCGTCTTCTCATAATTATGTTTCCCCTGCTTCGCCTCTGTTCCACCTGGTCCTTCCATGTCCTCCTCCTCCTCCTTCTCCTCTCCTTTTCCGTACTGCGCCCTCTACTTTCGACCCACGTTGTGTATTTCCGTCCCCTCTCTACTTGCTCCCCGCCCCTTTGGCACTAAGGAAACGGGTCCAGAGGGGAATGGGTCCTGGACCCAGGGCCTTACCCTGGACCAACTCTTCACTCCGATTGAATAGATGTTCGGCAGTCCCAGGGCCCAGGGAGAGCCCCAAGAGAGCCTGAGAACGGCGGCAAACCTTCGGATATGGTCCCCTCTGGATCCCCTTGCCTCATCCAAGGCCGGGCAAACGCTGTGGCCAGTTGCCAGTGTGTTTGGGATTTTGAGTTCTGGGACAGGCGATTGCCGATGTGGGCATTGGCTGCTCAAATATACGGTGGAGGCGTTTGTTAAGGAATATTTCTAGGAGGCGCCAGACCCTGGAGGATTCCTTATCCAATGAGGGCGGCGGAGATATCTATGGCCGATCCACGATCGGAGTTCGACACGCTTCCAGGGTCTAGATTCCTTATCTAAGGGATCCGAATCCAATGCCCACACCAAATTCCTTCTGAAACAGCGCCAGCAGATTCACTGACCAACCTCGCCTACACTGTCGTGTCGCACCACGCCGTTACGGGCCGCACCGCTCGCCCGCCTTAGGTTCATGGCGAGCCCCCATTTTTTCCGCCGCCTCACACCCCCTCCCCTGCCTGGCTGGCCCCGCCGGACGAAGTACAGGCTGGCGCCGGCCGGTCTCTGGGCGGGGTGGGGCGCCGCGGCGGTGGCACAGTGTACACATTGGCCCGGCGTGCCTGCGGAGGGGGAAGGGGGGGGGGCAGCTGAAAGAGGGTCCCTGCGGATGCGCTTTGGGTGGCAGGACAGAAGAGGAGGAAGATGAGGAGGAGGAGGCGGAGGAGGAGGAGGAGGAGGGGAGGGGGGGTGGGGTGGAGCTGAGGGAGGGACCCTGAGGATGGGCGCTGGGTAGCAGAACAGGACAGGAGGAGAAGGAGGAGGAGGAGGAGGAGGAGGGGAGACGAGAGGAGCAGGAGGAGAAAACACGAATGAGAGCCGATGGTGCTCAGGACGTCTGTTAGGCCAATGTGTGTGGCGGCCCTCGTTGCATCGTCTGCGCCGTGCTGAGAGGTCTTCGGTAGACGAGTACACGTTGGCTATCGCACACATTTTGAAGATAAACGGAAGGATAAGGAGAGGAGGAGGAGGAGGAGGAGGAGGAGGAGGAGGAGGACGAGGAGGAGGAGGAGGAGGGGGGGGGAGCAGGAGCAGATGAAAGAGGAGCAGATGCAGGAGGAGGAGGAGCCGGAAAGGAGAGAGGAGGGGGAAGAGGAGCGGAGGGAGGAGAGACGAGGAGGAGAGGAGGGGGAAGGATGGCGAGACGGAGCAGGAGGAGAGCCGAGATAGAGGAGGAGCATGAAGGAGGAGAGACGAGGAGGAGGGGGGGGGCGGGAAGCATGACGAGGAGGAGCAGGCGGAGGTGGAGGAGGCAGGGGAGGAACGCTTCTCGGGGGCCAGCGGCGCCCGCGGCGTATGGGGGGCCGCACAGCAGCGCTCCCCCATGGCACAGATGTACATAGCGGGCGCTGCGGCTGCGGGGCCCCGCTGCCATCAATACCCTCGGGGGGGGAGGTCGAGGGTCCCGTGCGGCTGGGCGCCCACCCTCCGGGGAGGAGGGGAGTCATCGGAGGAGGAAAAGGTACCCATACAGCTGCCCTTGCCTCGCTTTCCCCTCGTTGTGCCTCCTGGAAGGCTCTCGTCGCCACCGCCAGAGTCGTTCTGAACTGGTCAGAACGCACCCCAGGAGATGCCCAAGGAGTAGCGGCATCGGTATCGGTGCCTTTTGGCTTCCTGCGTCCTGAGATTTGTCGCCGTTTTCTGGCTCTCGGGGCCTTCCACGGGCCCCAGGACTGTCAGGAAACGACTCAGGATGAAGAGCTCGACCTGGGGCAAGGGCCCCGGGGTCCAGTTACCCGTTTCCCTCCAGACCCGTTTCCCCCATATTGAGGAGTCAAGCAGTGGCAAAGCGACCTGGCCTGGACAATGTTTCTCTCCCGACTCAGTGAAATTCACTTGCATGGCATGTTCCCCCTACCCACCACAGCTCTCCACACCCTTTCCAAGCAGCGCTGGGTCGAGCAGGCGTGCAAGTCAATCCCGACTTGCGTGAAGTCTAGAGTTTCTTCCGGGCCTCGTCACGACCCCCCCCCCTCCCCCATCCATGCATGTAAACCGCCTTGTGTGATTTGCATGAAAGTGATCTTATAATATGTACGGCTGAGACCGTCGTGGTTCAGTACACCGGTCTGTATGTTCTGGGAGTCTCCTTTCCGTTCTTGGGACATTCCTTCGTACTAAGAGCATGTCGTGGTAGGCCTACACGCAGGCGGGGACGGTCGGTCCCTGCTGCAGGGAAGGACCCCCGACATCGACGAGGAGCAGGTTTCACAAACATCCCTCTGCAGCAGCACTTCGCCAGAGGGCTCCGGCGAAGGTGAGCAAAAGACCGTGGGAGAGCCCCACGAGGGTCGGGCCGGACGAAAGGGGGGGATTGGCAAAGGGGGGGTACGAAATGTGCTGCATGTAGCTGGTTTCGGCCTCACCGAGGGGCCCATTCCTCGATACACAGCCGCCTCCGGCGCCAGGAGGCGCCGGGAAAATCAGCTACGGGGGTTGAGGCGCCGGGAAAATCAGTGCCTCAACCCCCCCCTTGGCTATCCCCCCCTTTCGCCCGACCCGAGAGGGGGGGGGGGGGGGGAAATCAGCTACGTGAGCTGATTCTCAAACCCCCTCCCTTGGCTATCCCCCCCTTTCGCCCGACCCGCGAGGGGGGGGGGGGACGGGGAGCCCCGGGCCGCCCCGTGCGGCGGCCGCTCCGCCCGAGGCCTCCGCACGGTACAACTTCTGGCGTCGGTCGCGCTCTCTTTCGCTTCGGTGCGGCCCCTGCGTGGCCGGCAGCTGCGGCCCGGACGGCCATCGGGAGCCTTGAGACAGGGGTCGATGCAAACGGGGGTCAGCCAGAGCACCCGATCTTGCAGGATCCTGCAGGGCCAGGGTCGCATTGACCCGGGTTTGTGTGCAAGATCCTGCAGGATCTTGCAGGATCCGTCGCATTGACCCGGGCTTGGGTGCGGGATCTTACAGGATTTTGCAAGGCCTGACTGACCCGGGTCTGTATTGACCCGGGTCAGAAGATCCCCGAGGCCACGACCCCTTTGTAGAAAACACATGCACGAGGCTCATCGGGGGCGGAAAAGGGGGGGGGTGATGACTAGGGGGGGGGGGGATACCATGGCGGGGGTCATGATATTCCCCCAGATGTCATGGCGCCGCTTCTCATTTCATCCCGTCCCTGGCCCCCCCGCCGGGCCGCGCACATGCCGCCGGTCATGATTTGCACCCCCCCCTCTTGGACACCCCTCTCTTGGCCGCTCCCGAGGTTAGGGTTTGCATGACCGTGCGTTCGTGGTCGTTCGTGCTGATCGGCGCGGACCCTCGCACCCCTCCCTTCCCCCCCTCCTCTGGAGTCGATCTTGCCTGTTTTGGGCGACTGTTTTGAGCAGGTAGAGCCTCCCCCATAATGGACGCACTGCTGCAAACAGTCGGGCTAAGCAGAGGTCCAGAGCCAGACCCCCCACCCTCCCCCACCCCCCCTTCTTCGCAATGTCGAAACGCCGAATAAAAAAACGCTCACTTTCGCAGGGATGCATAGGACTGAACGTCTGGACTGGCCCACTTCCTACTCCTCCAACCGCCTCTCCACCGTCGGTGCTATTGGCGTGCTTTGCTGGGGTAATGGTTTTGCTGGGGCAGCTCTTCTGAGGTCTGCGCCGATGTCTTGGATCGGCGCTGGACCCCCCTGGCGGTTCCTCCAGCGCTCCAAGAAATCTGCACGGATCTCCCCGCGTCGTGGACGAATCACGACGGAAGGCTTCTGGCAGTCTTCGCTCTCGTGGGGGGCCCTCGCCAGCCCCGGAGCCATCAGAAGACGACTTGGGATGAAGAGCAGGCCCCAGGGAAGAGGTCGAGACTTGGAGGGGCCACGTTGTGTGACAAGCACGACGTCGAAGGTCTGGGAGGGAGGTTCGAAGATCCCAAGTTTGAGGATCGAGCATCTGGGCCTCTGGACGCGCTCGGCTTCCCCTGGGGCTCCGCGGTGGCTCCCCGAGGCCTCCAGGATGTCCAGGGGCCCCGGAGACTTCAGGGGAGAAGACGGAGGAGGAGGAGGAGGAGGAGGAGGGTGCGTCCCCCTCCCTCCCTTCCCCCTCCCTCCCCCCTCTTATCCTCCTCCCTCCCTCCCCCCCTCTTATCCCCCTCCCTCCCTCCCTCCTCCTCCCTCCCTCCCTTCCCCCTCCCTCCCCCCTCTTATCCTCCTCCCTCTTCATCCCGTGCGGGTCGTGGGGATGATGCCACCACCCTTCACGGTGCGGCCGTGAGCGAATTTCCTGCGAATCCACCGCACCAAGTTGCGTGCGCTGGCGAATTCCTTGCGAATCCACCGCACCGAGAAGGACCAGTCCTCTGTTCGTCCAATTGTTGGAAGCGTTTGAGGCGAATGTGCGCGACGCTATGGCAAGAGCCACATGTTTAAGATCACTCGCCCTCCATCCATGAAGAATTGGAAGGTTTAGAACAAATCTGCACGGCGCCGGGGTGAGAGCCACAATTTGAAACCCACCAGTTGCCCACCCGGGCAATTGCTGGATAGTGTAAGGGCAGCCCATGGCAAGGAAGTCTCAAGCGAAACGTCTGACCCCGCCTACGGCCTATGAGAAGTTTAGGCTTCGGCCTAGGAGCACGTCCGGTGGCGTGACCTGGGAGGGGGTACCTGTAAGGAAGCAGTGGGGGCACGTCGGAGTGAGGCCTCCCCCTCGCTGTCCTCTCCCTCCATCGCCCTTCCCTCCTCTCGAGGGAAGGGGGGAGCGCCCGTCCGTTACGGGATCCCTCGACACCCGCGGCGTCCTCCGCCCCCACGCCTGCCCCCGCGGCGGCTCGCGGGGTGGCCGACGCGGCTTGTTTAAACACCGGGGGGTCGCCCGCGGAGGCGAGGCGCCCGCTGCAGGAGTGCAGCGCGCTAGCCTCCTCCTCGCGCCCCCCCCCGCGCGGAATTCGAGCGGCCCAGTTTGCATGTGGCCATTTGGAAAGGGCGGGGCCGCCGGGGGGAGGAGGTCACCACCCACCAAACCACCCCAACCCAACCCCAAGGTCTCGATTTGCCGTCCGTTTCCAGTGTGGGGGGGTCGGGGAACAGTCTGAGAAAACACATCTGGAACCCGCACACCCCCCCAACCCGAAATTCGGGTCTTCGGGTTTGGTTGGGGTGGTCTGGTAGGTGGTCAGGAGGGGGAAGGTAGGGGAGGATGAAGGGAGGCGAAGGCAGAATAGGGAAAGGATGAGGGAGGAGAGAGAAGGAGGGCACGAGGGAGCAAAAAAGAAAGGGAGAGAGAAGGGCAGAGAGCGATCAAGTAGGAAGAACATGTAGGAGGAGGGAGCTGGGCGATGGTGTGGTTCGGTTGCACCTCGGCAGGCGGGATGAAGGGGGAGGAGGGAGGGATGATGAGGGAGAACGGCAAGCGAGGAGGGAAGTGCGAATCGAGGGAGGGAGGCAGGAGGAAGGAGGAGATCGATGATTCCCACCAGTGGCTTCGAATCGGCCAGTATCGACAGAGTCTCGCTATCGGGGAGACGTGATCGTGCAAGACGTAACGACGTGAACTTTCCGTAGCCCCGCGCCCCTGGCTCAACAGGCCTGGCTGGCGCCAGGACGACAGCTCCAGACGGAGGAGGCGGGGACCAGGCGAAGCTGAGGAACCGGGGGGGGGGCCAGCCGACAGTTTCGGCTTTGTCCCCGAGGCACCGCTGGGCTATGGCGGAGTCTTTGGCCCAGGGGATGGCGCCCGTCTCGCCCGTCTGACGGTGGGGCGGGGGCCCCTCCCCCCGTGAGGTTTGCACAGCTCGCCGCGACGTGCGCCGCACCCCCGGACTGCACAGGATCCCAGCGAGCGACCGAGCGAGCGAGCGAGGAGGAGGCTCGGCTGCACGCAAGCGCGATCCTTCGCTGCTGCGCAGGATGCCTTGCCTGGCTTTGGGGCCAGGACGCTCTGGGCACCCCAGGAAGGCTCTCGACGAGGCGTGGCCTCTGGCAAGCAGCCCAAGGCGAGGAAGCCTCCGATGGCCAACGAACACTTGCGAAAGCAAGGCGTGGGATGTCTTGGGTGCCCAGACCCCGGCGCCGTGCTTTTTGGACCCCCTCCCCGGTTGGGCGGCGCTTAATGGAGTGGGGGCGATATGCGGGGGGGGGGGGGGGGACAGGTGTTTCTTTCGGACCCTAAATGCGTCCTTCTGGGCCATAGAGTACCCCTTCAGGGGCCGTGAAGGGCCGTGCACCCGTGCTTTCTGGACCCCCTCCCGGGTTCGGCGGCGCTTAATGGAGTGGGGGCGATATACGGGGGGGGGAGGGGAGAAAGGTGCACCTCTCGGACCCTAAATGCATCCATGTAGCGTCCGAAAGGTGCACCTTTCTCCCCTCCTCCCCCGTATATCGCCCCCACTCCATTAAGCGCCGCCCAGCCCGGGAGAGGGTCCAAAAAGCACGGGTGCACGGCTCTTCACGGCCCCCAAAGGCGCTCATTTAGGGCCCAGCAGGATGCATTTAGGGCCCGCAAGAGTGGACAACAGCCGTACTGGCCAGTTACCGCGCCACAGTTGGCGCCTTCGCTGCGCGCGCGGGAAGGCCACGACAATGGCTTCCAACATGGGGGAGGAGCTAGCGCTGATGAATTGCCATTCGTCTGGGCTGATCACATGAGCTCCAATGACAAATGCATGTGTAATTTCTGTTTTGAAGAGGGCGCAGAGGAACCGAGCTCGGTGGCCTGGCGCCGATGCTGTGCAGAACGTCGACGGGGCAGAGTGGGCAATCCGAGTGGGTCGATAGTCGTCCAGCTCGATCATTTCAACGCGAGCTCTCTGTCACGGAGCACAGGGAAGTAATCCTGACTAGCTCTTGCGGCACATGCGAGGTCCTCGGCGCCAATATGGGGTTACAATCAGTCCATCCGGCGGCGCGACAGCTAACGGAGACGGTGAAGTGCCGTGCACCCGTGCTTTCTGGATCCCCTTCTGGGTTGGGCGGCGCGGGGACGATATACGGGGGGGGGGCGGGGAGAAAGGTGCACCTTTCGGACCCAAAATGCCTGAGGGCCCCTTTAGGGGCCGTGAAGGGCCGTGCACCCGTGCTTTCTGGACCCCCTCCCGGGTTGGGCGGCGCTTAATGGGGGGACGATCTACGGGGGGGGGGCGGGGAGAAAGGTGCACCTTTCGGACCCTAAATGCATCCTTTTGGACCCTGGAGGGTCCTTGCCGTGAAGGGCCCATTTGGGGGAATCTGCAGCTGGCGTTGGGATCACGCGACAAGCGGGTCGGCGTGAGCTGGCAGAGTGCAGGGAGCAGCGGCGCTCGTCGGCCATGGCGCCCGCGAGGGGGGGGGGGGACACAAGAACTGGAGCAGAGGGGCAGGAGCCGCCACCGCGAGCGGGTGCATCGCATCGGCCGCACGCGGCGGCCGGCCCGGCCAAGCAGCAGCGAGCCGTCGGCCGCTGCTGCTGTCACGACGCGAGGGCTCCTGGCCGGGAGGTCGGACGCAGGGCTCGCTCTGAGCAGTTTCGTTGGGGCAAGTTCGCGGGCCGCTTCCGCTCCCGACCTCGCCCTGCGGCAGCAGAGGGTGGCACGAAGGCCAGACCAGGGACTCAGATCACACAGCGAGAACGAGACACGGCTCACGGTGGGTTTGTGCGGCGATGGCGCGCTGGCGACGCGTGCGAGGGCAATCACTGTTGACCTCCGCATGAGCGGACGACGCGGGAACGCCGAGGGGCACGATCGCGCCACACGACCCGACGGAATGCCACCCTGAACGGTGTCGGCCCGCGATCGGTTCAGAGGTAGAGCGAGCGACGCGGCGTCGAAAACCTTTTGCGCGCGCCGACGCTGCGCGAACCTACCGCAGGCCCAGCCCTGGTTGGGTGCCCAGGCCCGGCCACGACACCGCACCGCGCGGGCGTCCGGTAATGGGGAGCGATAAATTGGGGTGGCGTCGAGGGTTGCACGAAGGGGGCCCTAAAGGGGCCCTAAACGAGCCCCCTAGGGCCCTGAACGGGTACAAAAGGTGCACGAAAGGTGAAGCCCCCTTTCTCTCCCCCCCCCGTCTATCGCCCCCCCCCAGTAGTGAACGCCCGAGCCCCCGCGCGCGCCGCGGAGAGGCGCCCCGCCCGGCGCCCTCAACGTCGTGACCGGCGGACCGCCCGAGGCGCCGGGGGGCGCGTCGGTTGCCCCCGGCAGGGGGGTCGGCCTCCCGCTCGGCCCCCCCTGGGCGGCGAAGGGTTGAGGACAGTCAAGATCGACGATGAGGGTGGGCAGCCTTCCCAAGGGGTATCCTTGCGTCCTCGCTTCCTCGGTCCATCCTGAACCCGTCTTGAGTGCCAGCCCCGCTCGGAAAGCTTCGGCATGGGCGTCCCAAGGGGCTTGCATCCTTGTGGCGCATCCTCACAGTATGTTTTGATTGTAGGGGGGTGATTGACCCCAACTGATTTTGCTGTAGGCTCTACGAACAATACAGAGATCGCGCCGTCTATTACGAACATTGAACGTATTTTGCTGCAGATTCGACGGGCGAATCTGTTTTGGGGGTAAATCAGTTCTGTAGCCGATCCCCATATTGGAAAGGGGGGATCAGGGGCAACTCAGGGGGGGGGAGGTAGGACAGGCTCAGGGGGGAGGCAGTTTCGACCTCGAGGTGCCACGTTTCCAGGTGTCCGCGTTGGTGCTCGGCGGCATTCCAGCCTCGGGGGTCCTTCCAGCGGCGGCGTCTTGCCGAGAGCCTTCTGGGGGTGCCCAGATCGTTCCTTTCGGCCGCCGGAGACCCGGGTTACGACCCGATCATTGGAGGTCAGACTCAGGTGATGATTTGGTGTGGTGGGCTTCTTAGGGGATGATTTGGGGTGTTAGGCTTAGGGGGGCGCATCGACGTCCAATCGCCCATTGATCGCCGATAGGGGCCCGATAGCCCAGATCCGCTTAGGACCAAGCGGATTTGCCATCGAGGGCCTATCGATGTATCGCCGATTCCAGCTCGACGCTTCTCCCCCTCAGCGAGTCCACCCCTTATCGTTCCCCCACAGGGGGCGGGGAGCATGGGGGGCTTCTCAGATCAATCAGTCAGGCAGAGTCCTGGTAATTAGTGCCATGAAACAATGTTCTAAGAACCTTCTGTGATCTATGCAGCGTGCTATCGAAGACGCCTCCGTGGCCAAGCGTTGCTGCCAGACTTCGGCCAAGCTGTTGGATCATGTGTTTCCCCCAGCCGTTGTGGAAACGCTTTAGGGAACACGTGGGGGAGAAACAAGAAGAGGAGGAGAGTTCTCTTCGGGCTTTCCTGGGGGCTCTCTCGGAAGTCTCTTGGGAGCCTCTTGGGCCGTCGTGGGCTATCTTGGGGCCATCTTGGGCCATCTTGGTTGCATCTTGGGCTGTCTCGGAGACATTGTGCGGCCATCGCGCCTTGGAGGCCATCATCAGCCATCTTGCCCGTCCTGGAGTGGGAAGACCGATGACCCGGGAGGTGCACGGGTCTTGGCGGGGCGCCTTGGGGGCCATCTTGGGCCCGCCCGGAGCGGGAAGACCGACGAAGTGGGAAGTCTAGGGGCCCCGACGGGGTAGGAATACCGATGAATTGGAAAGTTTATGCGCCCTTCAGGGTGGGCGGCGCGATCGTCCGAAGGCACACTGGGATCTGTCAAAATTAATACGAATACGCACCCAAAGTTCAGCATGCCGTGCACCCCTGTGGCAAGCCAGCAGGGGGCGGCGGATCGAGGACGCCTACCGCGAATCACCGCCGCCCCCTGCCTTTTGAAAGCGCCGGTGTGGCCGAACATTGCGGCCAGAGCTCGGGGAAGCCATCGGACACTGTGTTTCCCCAGGCGTTGTAGAAGCCCTTCGGGGAACACGTGCGGGAGAGAAGAAGGGGAGGAGAGGGAGGAAAAAGCAGGAGGAGGTCTCTTGGGAGCCTCTTGGGGCCGTCTTGGGACCTCTTGGGGGTCATATCGGGGGTCATATCGGAGGCCTTCTGGGCGTTCTTGGGTTCATGTTGGTGGCTTCTGGGGCCGTCTCGGACCGTCGGAAGGCCGAAAATGAGGAATCGCCCAGTCGGGGCCTCGTCGGGCCTTCCTGGAGGTCCTCTTGGAGGCCTCTTGGGCCGTCTTGGAGGCCGTCTTTGGCGATATTGAGGCTATCTTGTTGGCATCCCAGCCCGTCTTGAAGACATCTGGGGGCCATCTTGGGCTGTTTTGGGAACCATCGTAGCCGTCTTGGAGGCCATCTTGGGGGCCGTCTGGAGCGGGAAGACCGACGATCTGGGAAGGTTACGGGTCCTTCCGGGGCAGAAAAACATTTTTTTAGGAAGAGTCCGGGGGGCTGGCGGGTTGGGCCAACGGCCCACCAGAAGCCTGACAATAGAGCAAGAACGACCTAACATTTCGCACGCCGTGCACCCCTGTGGCAAGCCATAGGGGGCGGCGGATCTAGTGGCATTCGGCCCATCCCGCAATTGTGCCTGGGTCATGGGCCAGAAACGTCGTGGATGCCTGTAGGATTCTATCTGCATAGGTCTCAGGGGCTTCCTGGTATACCTACATCTCGGGGCCTGTGGGGTCTTCGTGGGGCTTGCTGGGCAGAATGAGGGCCTTTCTATTAGGGCCTCGCCTGCGCACAGCCCGTCCCTGAGAGGCGGAGGTTGCCCGAAATCTGGCCCCCCCCCCTGGGCCGCCCGCGGGAGGCGCTGGCGGACGGCAGCAGCACAGGCGCGCCGCCAACCCGCCGCCGCGCGCGGGGGTCGGACCGGCACGCTGGTCGCCCCAGAGCACCGAGCCCTTCCTCCCGCCGAAGGATGTCGGAGAACCGTTTCGACTCGAGGCGCCCCGGCCTTGACATCCTTTTCTCTTCCACCGTGGCGATGTCACCTACAATCGAAACCGATAGTAAAGATGGCAACCTTCCCAAGGGTACCCTTGCATCATTGCCTCCCTTGTCCAGCCTGGACCCCTCTGGATTGCCAGCCCCGGTCGAAAAGCCTCGACATGGGCGTCCAAGGGGCTTGCATCCTTATCGCGCATCCTTGCTGCCAGTTTGGACTGATCTTCTTTGGAGCCGTCCTGCTGATTCCTCTCGCCCCAGGGGGCCCGGTACTGGAGAGGCGCGCATGGGCGCCAGCGCGTACTGCCGAGGCGCGCCTCCGAGGTGCCGTGAATCTCGGGAGATGCCCGTGCAGACGAGGCCCCCAGCAGCAGGGCCACGCCACTGCTACCGTTGCCCCCCCCTGCAGCACCTCCCGCCCCTCCGCGCGCCTCGTAGGTGGCTCGAGGTAGAAGCCGGACCCCACGTCGTCGTCGTCGACGACGACGACGACGACGACGACAACGACGTTGACGACGACGACGACGACGACGACGACGACGACGACGACGACGACGACGACGACGACGACGACGACGACGACTGGCTGCGCCTCTCTCTGGAGCCACCGGTGCTGGCGCGGCGGCTGGAGCGGGACGGCGAGGGGCGGCGGAGCGGCGGGGGGGATGCGCGGAGTCGGGTGGGCCAGCCCGGCGGCAACGGGAGAACCTGAGCAGGTCACTGTGGCCCACAGCATGTGCCGGGGCTATTGTCAGTTGTTGCTCTTGTTGACGTGTGGGGTGCGTCCAAGATAGCCCTCTTGAGGGGTAGCGGATTTCTCCTTCTCCTCTGCTTGGTTGCTTCTGTGGGGAAAAAATATGCCGGCAAGGCCAGGATTCGAGTGCCAGCCGCGAGCAGGATCGTGCGCCGCCCAGCCAAAGATCCACCAGGGTGAGGTGGCGGCGGGGAGCCCCGACCCATGCAGCCAAGACGCCTGTACAAGGACCGCTTTGGGGTCAGGAAAGGGCTCTCGTATAAGTTCGGACCGCTCCATGGAGCTGAGTCGGAAAATATTCGTGGCCGAAACTACTTTTCCTGGCAAGGTATTCTGGGCCGATGCGTGGGCCACAACGCGCATGTCCGTACAGTACTGGTTCTGTCTCCTCCTGCTGCTCTTCCGCGATGCTCCTGAAGTCTGTCTTGTGCGTGCTGCATGTTGCAATGCCTGTCTGTGCTGCTCAGAAGCCCGTCTTTCTGAAACCAAGCTCCCCTGCTGAGCACTGTGAGGCTCGGCTCAGGGTGACGGCGAGAAGGCACCGTAGCTTGTCGGATGCTTGGTCTTGGGGTACTCCTGCGAGTTTTCGCAGGATCACGCAGTGTCCTCCCGCTCGTTCTCCTCGTCCTGTTTCTGGACAGTTCGGCGAAACGCTGTCGACAAGGATGCCAGGCACCCCTCGAGATAGGTGGGAGCCTCCTGACGAATCGTCATCAACATTTCTTGGCTGCCGCGCGTCTCGGTGCACGCGAGGCACCCCTCGAGGTAGGTGGGAGCCTCCTGGCGAATCGTCATCAAAATTCTCTTGGCTGCCGCGCGTCTCGCTGCACTGCGACCTCTGCCGCCGACATGGAGCTGCCCTGGCTGACCTGTTCGCCAGGTCTCCCCGATCCCGAGGCTGACCTGCTCGTGCCATGGCACGACCGCCTGTGGCGCCACGCTCTTGCTGCCCCCTGCCCCCGCCCGGTCCTGGTCTCCTGCCCCGCCTGCCCCGTCCTGCCCTCTCCTGCCCTCTCCTGCCCTCTCCTGCCCTCTCCTGCCCTCTCCTGCCCTCTCCTCCTGCCCTCCTGCCCTCCCCTCCTGCCCTCCAACCCACCTGCCCTCCCCTGCCCTTCCCTGCCCTCCCCCGCCCGGTCCTGGTCCTGCTCTCCTGCCCACCTGCCCCGTCCTGCCCTCTCCTGCCCCCCCCCCCCCCCGGCCCTCCCCAGACTTCCGAGGCCGTGTTGCCCTCTTGCTCCGCCCGCGGGCCCCAGAGCATGCGACCGCCTCCTGGGGATTCCAGGCAAGACGCTGAGATAAAGACCCCTGGGGGGCTCCGATGGGGGCTCTGGTTTTCGTCCCGTTCCTCGAGTCCTGGCTCGTGGTCGAGAGTTGCCTCGGCCAGAGCAGCCCCTTCGTTCCTGCTTCAGCGTCCCTCACGGCAGCAAGATGCCTGCACTTGTTCGTCCCGGGCGGCTTGTTGCCATTGCCACAGGGCCGACGTCGTGACAAAACCATCGTGGGCCTCGACCCACGATCCGAGTCGATGCATGTCGTTTCGCCTGCTGGAGCTGCGATTCTGCTTCGATCCGGTCGCTTCAGTTCGGTTCCCCGGCGTCGGCAGGGGCCAACAGGAGCCAGGCGCGGCGACCCGGTGCCGATTCGCTTCGAGTCGGGGCGGTGTGCCGGCGGTCCGACCCGTTTCCGATCCGGCCCGGCCCGATCCGATTTGGCGACCCAGCCCCGCTCAGGACAGGCCCGTCGTTGCGCGGGATGCTTCCATTGGCCAGACGTAAGAGTGACCTTTCGCCGGAGTGACCTTTGGTGCGGGCCCAGTGGGGCCCCCCGATCGCCGAACGCGATGCGATAGTAGCGCCTTGCGCGCCTGTGTTTGGTCCCCCCGCGGCCCCCAAAAAGCTGCGCACCAAAGGTCACTCTTACCCAGGGTCACTCCTGCGTCTAGCCGATTCCACCCCGACCTTGGTCCTTGGGCGCCGTCTGAGAGTCTCCGTGCTCGGACAGCTGATGCCCCGCCTCGGGCCCCCAGGCGTAATTCCAAACACAACACAAGCCCGCGACAAGGCAACGGAAACTGTATGACGCTTCATGTGTTGCAGGCTCGCTCTGCGTCAAGCGCTGGGTGACGTCTTCGCCTCCTCAGAGCGGCCCTCCTGAGCGGCGCCCCCCCCCACCCGCTCCGCACAGTGAGCAAGTGGACGACCCTACTTCGCTGCTTGGCTCGAAGGGACGTTCCTCCGTAACCTCGCTCACGCCCCACCAGAGGAGTTCACGCTGGCAGCTGCGCGCACATGTTCGCTTGGGCTCCCGCCTCGTCGCCCCCGACCTCGCTCGGGGCGAGCCACCGGGACGAGGAGGTCGTGGAGGTGGAGACCAAGGCAGGGTCCATCTCGATCCGATCGATCCGATTCGATGTCGATGTCCTGACGATCCGACGCGGCCTGCATGCTCGCATGGCGTCGATCCTGTTCCACTCCCTCTCCGTGCCGATGCGGTCCGATTCGATGTTGACAGGTTCTGCCACAGGCGGCCCCACCCTCTGCGGGAGCATCTGATACTTTGGCTGCCCTGGCCCCCCAACATGGGTCCAGGTTCCCACGGGTCGATGAAAATAGGTATCTCTGGATCCCCAGATCCCAATCTATTTTAGGCGCCTTCTTATTGAATTCAAGAGTCGTGCGGTTGTCCCTGTTCCCTCATGTTCAGGGGGCGGGCGGAGAACCTATCTACTTCCAGCGCCGTCCTACTTCATGCTTCTACCCACTTCTTCCGACCGACGGGAGGTAGGTCGCGCCGCGTCGCCGATGTATCGGCGATGCGGCTCGATATGGAGCCCGATGCTCTCCACGCCAACGGCGCTGGCGCATCGCCGCCGTCGCCGATGCATCGGCGACTCACCCAGACCTCCGACGATGATTGCTTTTCGATGCGCCAGAGGTCCCAACACCATCTCGTGGGGCTGTTTTTTCGTCGCACAGCCTTGCGTAATGGCCCTGGGGCCCGACAACGGCCTCCAGAAGCCAAAAGGCGGGCAAATCGCGCGGATTGAAAGAATAATGTCGTCGGAGACCTGGAGGTGCATCGCCGGCGACGCGGCGCGATCCTCCGACCCCAGCTGATATGACCCCGGTTGGGAGGGGAGCCTCATAGCAGCGCCTCGCACCCCCGGGGCCCACCAGAACGACCCAGGCCGCCCCTCCGAAAAAACGCCAGAAGATGTTCATCCTCAGACGTCGGATGTCTTCAGTTTCTCCGTATGGGGTCCCCAGAGTTCTGGACTCATGATGCTCCAACCTCCTTCAGCCTCGACCACCAAAAAATAGTTTCGAGCACCACGAAAGTATCGAAATTGGAGGGTTCGCACGTGTCGAGCCTTGGAGGCGATACTCGTTCAGCACTTCGCCAGCGTGTCGGGCAGACAATGTTTTGATCATTCCCTGGGTGTTTTGTTTTTTTGTCTGGGATGTACCCCTTAAGGTCTGGACCTTCCCCCCTGGGCCAGCTCTTAATCCCGAGTCGTTTTTCGATGGTCTTGGGGTCAGCGAGGTCTCTCTGCACACAAAACCCCCACCTGCTGAGCTTCTCCAGACGCTGGAAGTCCAGGCTTTCGTCGATCCTCGACCACGACGACGACGGCAGAGCCGCTCACTCCAGGAGCGAGCGAAGGACAGGCGGAGGCGGAGGAGGTGGAGGAGGAGGAGGAGGAGGAGGAGGAGGAGGAGGAGGAGGAGGAGGAGGAGGAGGAGGAGGAGGAGGAGGAGGAGGAGGAGGAACTCCACGCCGGTGGCGAGAGGGCGCACTGGACCGGGGGCCCGCATGCCCATGCACGCTGGGCTCGCACGGCCTTTGCGGGCCCCCTGCCCTTAGCTTTAAGTCGGGCCTGTCCCCCTACAGGGAGATTTTCGACGAAAAATAAAACATATTCCAAAAGTAGTCCAAAAATAGTCTGGGGACTATCTTTTGAGTATTGTTTGACCTTTTGGGGGGTATTCCTTAATTTTTCATAGAAGATCCCCCTGTAGGGGGACAGGCCCGACTTACCCTTAGCTTCACCGGTCCTGCCCAAGGCTCGCTTCGGAGCTCCTTCGGCGCCCGAGCGCGCTCGGCCGCCGACCGCGCTCGAGCTCGAGGCCACTCGGCGGCCGAGCGGGCTCAGACGCCGAACGGGCTCAGCTCAGAAGGGAGCCCCGGCTTCACTGAGATCCTGCGTTGCGAGAAACTTGCAACATCGCACTGCGATGTTGCAAGTTTCTCGCGATTCGGAAAAATCTCATTTTTTGAAAAAATCGCGTCGCGATGTTGCGATGTTGCATTTCTCGCGATGTTGCGATGTTGCATTGCGTCGCGATTTGTTTGAAAACATCGCGACCAGAGCCTTCGACCCCATCTTTCTGCATCATCTTTCGAGCCGGACCGATCCGTGAGGGTGCGGGGGCCCAAATTGGGCGACCACGCTGGATGGGAAAACAATGCAGCGTCCAGATATGAGGGGAGACGCCACTTGGAGGCAGTTTTCTTTGTATGCTAAGAAGTTGACTTGCATGGAGGAGGGATGCAAGTGAACGCGCCTGAGTCTGAAGAAAAGCAGCCTCTAGGAGGTCGCCGCCTCCTCCTTGAGGTCGGGGATAGGAGAACACGGAGGATCGGCGACCGGGGAGGTTTGGACGCTGCCGTGCAAGTGCACATGCCTGAGCCTGAATCGGCGGCGAGCCCTGGGGGGAAGGGAGCCGGGGCGGGCCTTCTCTGAAGGCTCGGAAGCCCCCTGGCCTTCTGAGAACTGTTCTGGTTGAGCCTGCCCCGAAGACGCAGAAAAAACTCTTCAGGAGGCGCGAGGGCTTCTGAGAAGTCCCGCCGCCCTCTGAGAGGGCATTCTCCTTCTCATTTCCCCCCCCCCGCTCGCCGCCGATGAGGGCTTGCGGCCACGAACTTTTGATTAGCGTGTCCTCCGCAGGCACTGTCCCACCACGCTTCGGCGCGACACGCCATCCAAGTCGCGGAGTGGAGCGATGCGCTATCCGCTCGCAGGGCACAGCGTGTCGCCCGCCGCCCCGAAGACTTCCTTCTGAGAAGGCCCTCTCCTTATCCCCCCCACACTGCTCGCCGCCGACGGAAGAAAAACAGCCTAGTGGTTTATGATGTGCCAACCTACTCTAACATTGGTCACCAAAAATGCAGTAGGGGTCCTGAAGAAGGAACCCTTTTCGTTGGGGAGGGGCTCGGCGTTCCTTAAGTGTTTCACAGCTTGCCTCAGGCTTTTCTTATGTTTTCGACAGGAAATCGAAGGTTAACTTATAGGAAAAAAAGGGCCTCGTTCCTTATTTAGGGTTCCTTAGGTCAAGGCCCCGACTGTAGTTTCGAGCACGAAGGAAGTACCGAAACTGGAGGGTGCTCACGTGTCGGGCCCTGGGAGGCGATCCTCCTCCGAACATTCAGGGGCCCTGGGTCACTGTTTCGACAGCTCCCCGGGTGCTCGAGACTCCTTTTGGGACGTGGTCCTTTAGAGTACGATGGGCGCAGCGTCGCTCTTGGCTTCTCGCCCAGGGCGGCCCCGCCCTCTGCGGGAGCCTCTGCCCCGGCTGG